CTTGGGTCAGTCACAAGCTCTGGCACAGCTGTCCTTGAAAAAGAGCAGTTTCTGTCTGAGCTCTCTCAGCCCGACCCCCCTCACAGGGTGTCTGTTGTCGGGAGGGGAAGGGAAAGGAGTTTGTAAGCCGCTCTGAGACTCCAAGTGAAGGGCGGGGTATAAATCCAATCTCCTCCTCCTCCTCCTCCTGTGCAGGAAATGACCCCTGAGCAAATGAATCCTGTACTGTGTTTCTGTCTTCCTCTCCAGGAGGTGGTCGTTAATGAAACTGGCTTCATTCGGGATATCATAGAAACACAGCCACTGCCCTGCAAACGTATCTTCGAGAACGAGCCAACAGCAGAGACAGAAGGGCAAGGCAAATTCCTGGCAGACGTGATGTCCAGTGGCGCTCTTGACATGAAGGCTACCCTGCCGCTTCCTGTCCTGCTCTTCGTACACTTCGGCTTTCCTTGGCTCCTTACTGTCATGCCGCGCATGCTCTGAATCTCTGACTCTTAACGCCATAGGACAGCATTGCCAGTTGACCAACAGTGCAATCCTATGCATCCTTAACCAGAATTAAGTCCCACCTTACCCAATGGGGTTCACTCCTAGGGAAGCATGCATAGGATTGCATTTTTACAACGCCTGGCACATTCCCCTTTTTCTTAGCTGTAAGTGGCACAGCGGGTAGGAGTTGATTTCCAGTCAAACGCGGAGCCAGAGCAGGCCAGTCGGGGCTGAAAAGAGGTCCGTCCAACCCTTGCATTTAAAGATCGCCGGTCTTGCTTTTCATTTCGGATGCAATCCTGTGAAGGGAACACATGCACAAACAGGCCTCACCAGCGGAGATAAGGAAGCCGCGACTCCCCAGATGAGAGCTTCCATGTCCCTACCGGGAGAGAGGATTCCCCCACCTACAGCTTTCATTTCCTGCCACCGCTGTGGCGGGCGGTGAGAGAACAGAAGTTTTAAAGATCTCCATTGGCTGATGGCACTCCCTAGGTTCCCGCCCCCTCCAGATCTCACCAATGGTTGGCTACCCAGCCCCAGATAAACTGTTGCAGCCTGGGAGGAGTGGGTGGGCAGCTGGTGAATCACGCGGCCCTCTCCTCTGCTCACTAAATAGCAGGATTCTGAGAGAGGGAAGCAGCAGCAGCAGCCAAGTTTCTGGACCTGAAGGCACAGCCTGCCTGGCATCCAGCAGTGATGGGGATGCCAGGCCCCCCTGGTGTAGGCAGGATTCCCCTGGTTTTGGGCGCTCCACTCTGCCGGAAATAAACACAAAATGCCTACATGACCCAGAAGTGATGTGGGGACGTCAGGGGGGTGATGCTCTGGTTTGGGGAGCAAAACTCTATGGTGGAAGCTAATTCTACAATAGAGTTTTGCCCAAAAGCCAGAGCAAGCAAATGGCATCCCTATCCACATCACCCACCAATTTCCCCAGAGTTTTGCCCAAAAGCCAGAGCATCGCCCACCAATTTTCCCGGTGTGCCTATGTCACTTCTGGGTCACGTAGGCACATTGCATTTATTTTCAGCGTTCCTTCCCACTCCCGGTAACTTCATCCCCCATCCCCCACTGGCAGGTCCAAGAGATCTGGCAACCCTAAGCAGTGACCCAGCCGAGCAACAAGGTGTTTCAGCACTGAGTGTCAATTCACACTTTACAATGTCTTCATGTCCCCCATGAGCTGCCACAGGTCCTGCTGTGCACACCTTCTCTAGGAGTTTGGGCTCAGAACTTAATTCCCAGGCACACGTGGACCCAATCCAGCCTGGGATTGTGGCACTGCACCTTTCTCCCTTCCTTAAACAGCCCTCAGGAATGGCTATTTTCCCCATTGGGGACATTTACGTAGTCTGTTGGGTTAAAAGTATGTTTCTACAACAGGGCAAACATTTTAGGTTGAGCAAACAGTGCAGGGAGGAAGGAATAAGCCCCTTCTCCCCTCATTCCAATCGAAATGGACCCTGTGTGTGCCTAGGAGAGGGGATGGAGGGGACTTACCAGGAGAAAGAGGAAGGCCCAGGCCACATTGCTGGTGTTGCATTGAAAGTGACGTCATCATGCTGTGCCGTTTGGACAACGGTTTGGTATTTGGACAAAAACTCTACAGTAAAATGGCTTCTACCATAGAGTTGTTGTCCAAATACCAGAGCATTGCCTGGACATTGCTGGTGTGATGATGTCACTTCCTGTGTGACGCTGGCAACGTGGCCTGGGCCTTCCTCTTTCTCCTGGTAAGTCCCCCTACCAGCCAATTGATCAGTAGCTGGCGGGAAGGGATTGGCAGTGGGGGACGCCCTGCCTCCACCAGGACCCCTGCCTCCACTAAGAGTTCTGGCAACCCTAGCCTAGGTCTAAAGTTCTGAGCAGGGGACTCCCAGAGAATATTTGATTGACAGGACACCACAGGAGTGGACACAAGGACTTTGCAGCAGGTGAATTGGCCCTGAGTGTCACTCTTGAACACTTTCCCAGCCCATCCTCGTTTCCTGTATCCTTGGACCTTCAGTTTCTCATCTACGTGGTCATAACTGTGCAGCCAGCATGGTATTGTGGTTAAGAGTGGTGGAGTGTAATCTGGAGAACCGGGTTTGATTCCCCCACTCCTCCACATGAAACTTGCTAGATGACCTTGGGCCAGTCACAGTTCTCTCAGAGCTCTCTCAGCCCCACCTACCTCTGGGGAGAGGAAAGGAAGGCAATTGTAAGCTGCTTTGAGTCTCTTTAGGGTAGAGAAGATTGGGGTATAAAAGTGAACTTTTCTTGTTCTTCAGCTCCTGGTAGGGTCATGGCTAGGGTGACACTCTGGAATTATGGCCTGGTGCATGTACCTCACAGTCCACCCAACGTATTTGTTTCATGGCTTATCTGAGAAACTGGAGCTTCCTCCTCTCTGTTGCAAGGTGTGTGTACACATTTGTGCATACCCAGTTCCCCATGGCAGGATTCTTAGCACATGTTGGGTTGTCCTGGGTTTGTTAATTTTCCCTCGTGACCTGCTGAGGAACAATGTGCCCATTTAGATGGAATCATGTCTCTACCACCATCCCTCTGTGCTACCATCCTCAGCTTACTTCTTTGGAAGTACATAGAGTTGGCTCCAACCAGCTTTTCTGCTAGTGAAAAAAGGAGTCGAGGGTCCCTCTGAACGCCTGACATGGCTACACTGGCACTTGTAGGACCTGCATGGACAAAATCCATGTGGGATGGGGGCTGCAATATGGAACAGCACTGGGGAAGGCTGAGTAAAAAAGTTGGCTGGATCCAACCCATATTATTGAGGTGAGATACAGTGAATTTGAAAAAGTCCCCCTGAAAGAAACAGAATGGGCTTTAAGCCCCATTCAGATATTGGCTATACATGTGTTTTGATTGTGTCTACCAGACTTTCCCCTTTAGTGTACCTGATGGCAAGGTGGGGAAAAGAACATCAGCACAGACTGCTATGTCTGCCTATGCACAGGGGTGGAAATCATGTGATCAGCACACCACCAAAAGAAAAGTAGTCAAGTACTGTTTGAAAAGGACAGGCTATGGATTAACCCAGTGAACCATTTAAAATAATTGATCCAAAGAAGAAATTTGTCCTGGGTACAGGAAGCAAAGAGAAAAGATGATCGCCACTCATAGCTGGGCAACTGTAATATATATTTTTAAAGCAGAAATTCCCATATTTAAGTGATTTAAATGGTAACAAAAATCACATTTACAGTATAACGCTATGCAGAGTTGCCCTGGACTTCCAGAGATCAACAATCTGGAATAACTCTGCACGTTTAATATTCCTATTAAGTGCCCTGAAATCCACCGAAGACATCTTCACATTGATGCAATCGAGTCAGATCAGACAATGAGATTTCTCAGTGGGTTGCTTCTCCCAGTATGGAACTCCCTCCCGCTACAGAGTCTCCAAAGTCCCAAGCCTGGGTATTTTCAGAAGCCTTATTAGACCTACTTGTGTGGGCACGTCTTTGGGGTTCAGAAATCAAGCTGGGGAAAGTGAGAAAGTGTTGGTTTTAGAGTTTCTTGTTTTGCTTTACTGATTTTCGCAGGTTATGAATCGAAATAAAATTTTTGATTCTGCATCGAAATGAACACTCAGAGATCTGAACACAGCATGAAATAGAGATTTTTTTTGTTGTAGTTGCAACTCATGATCAAAGGCAAAATATTTATTTTCAAACTGCCACTGGGATCATTTTAGCTTCCAATCGATGTGTTTAATATTTACACAAATTCCATCGCCTTCTGAGATGAACTGAAATGTTATATTGATTTACATTGTGCTGATATTTATTTCAGGGAGGAGGGGAAAGAATCAATATTTTTTTCCCAAAGGAATCGACATCCTTCTGTTATAGAAAAAGTTAGAAAGGATCATTCTTAGTTGTATTTGAAATCTGTGACAATTAATATTCTTAGTAGAGTCCACCTGATTAATGTCATCTAATAGTACTTTGTAAGTGTTGTGCAATCTAATTGTCATACAGGAAAAGAGTACTGTATGGCTGCTTCCACATGGCAATGAATCTCCGTGAACCTCTTGCAGTGGCCACAGACTGCCCAAACAGCCGTTTCCCTGGCCTGTCTTGGCCTCAGTCCTGCCCTCACTGCCCAAAGAGTTTTTGATTTTAAAAAAATCACTTGGTACAGT